CAAACATAAAGGACATCTTTTCAACATTAACCTTAGCTGGAATCAAAGTTTTAAAATTTTATTAAGAATCAATTTTGTTTACGCACATCCAAACACACTCTAACATGTCTTTCTTCATGTGAAATTGTTGTACACATTTCCAGAATACCAGAATAAGAAATGAGCTGTGGGCACAACGATATGGAGGAGCTCTTGAAGAATTCGCCGCAAGGTACAACAAAACTCTAAAACTGTAGCTTTAGCATGTAATGAACTTGTTTGAATGATTGATTCAATTGCGTGATTGATTCAATTGACAGATAACCATAATCTAGGGTTCCAATCACTAATTAGTCAAAACTTCAAAGAGAAAATCTCGAACAATCAATGTAAAGATACAAATATTTCCCGAAATGTGCAAAATTCTTTAGCACTTCTCATTACTCATTAGTCAAGAAGTAGTGTTCATCTTGATTTAGAGCTATCATGTGAGGAATGATGAGAATAAATTACTAGTTAATGGTCACAGATTAAAAGTAAAGGGATTCATTAAGCAGGTGAACAGGGATGGATGTACACAAACTATGCTTCGGTGAAAGAGAATATCTTGGTCACGTATCTCACCATAACCAATTGAATCACTTCTCAACAAAGAAGACTGTAAGAAGGCATGTCTTCAATCCGTAGAACATCATCCATCAGCAACTCTCTCTCTAGCTGAACTCGCGTGGATTTCAGTACATCCTGCAATAATAATAGAAACCCCTTTGAATATAGGAACAACATATTGCATTTTACCGTTGATTATTCAAAAGCTATACTTTCTTTTATAGATTATTAACAAGTGCATCATGGAGACTTACGTTAAATTCCATGTATGTAGCATTTTTCTCCTGCCATTGTTTGTCCATAACAACGAATGCCACGCAATAAAGCAGGTCAAATGCCCATTCATTCTCTGCAAATGTATGATAACAGTTTGAACTTTTGTGTAAATACCATAACAGACCAGATAATATCTCAGAACAGTTGCTGATTCTAACCTGAAAGCATTTGTAGAAAAACTGCTCTTACAAAAGTCCTTGGCTTGGCTGCAAGAGAAGAAACAGTCTGGTATTAGAGATATTGTTGTAATTTTAAGATGGCAATTTCTATTTAGTTTAGTTTCCTTGGAGACCTAGGCCACAAGACTCGTGTAACTAACTGGGTGAGTGTTAGTATATCAAGTCAATAACTAAATATAGGTTCAAAATACTTTTGATCACGTACTGGCATCAAGATCCAGCATTTGCATAATCATAAATGTGATGTTAACGCCAGCAACAGCAAATGGATACTCCCAAACAGCTTCTTTTCCTCCTTGCCTCTTCAATAGGCGCTGAAAAGAAGTCTGCAACATGTAGAGGGACACAAGAGCATAAGCAAATAAATCGATTTTTGGCAGAAGTTGGGCAAAAACTCTTTCATGATACGGAGTATTGTTCATTTGGGAGTCTAAGATTGTTCATTTGGGATTCAGAATCTTACTGAGAATGTCTTTGCAAAGAAAAGTAGGTTCTCCAATGAAATGAAACCAGCTCCTCTGTTAACAAAATTGGTCCAAAAGAAATGAACTTGTCAAGAGCGAAAACAGCACAAAAACATAAAAAAAAGGGATGGTAACGTGAAAAGGCAAATATAACCTGAAATCAGTAGACGGATCTCTACCCTGCCATCCCATTTCTTTCCATTGATCAGAAATCAAGCTTTGAAGATCCTGTCCAGGGAATGAAGCAGACCACAGAGCTCTCAACGCTTCCTGTTCTTGAAAGAATTTGTGGATGAGTATCTTGCAGAAGAAGGCTAAAAATATGTGAATAAGTAAAATTTCACTAATGATTATTTGGCATGGACCATCAATTTCAGATGTCAATTTGCTGGTATAAATTTCACAGAAAATAGGATTGCAGCAAGTTCCCCAGCAATCAATGCTTACACCAATGCAAAGTAAAATAATACAACTACGTTATACCTGGTGATCAGGCTTGGAACCATCAAAGTAAACTTTCATTCTGCGCTGTAGTCTTCTTAGCCTTTCCTCCTACAAAATTTTTTACAGATGGATGCTTAATGAATTACTTTTTCAGTTTTATTCTCTAGTTTTCCTCACTGCTCTGTCTTCAATGAATTCATGACAAAAGGGAAAAAAATATTGAACCATTTATGATAAAAAAAAAGAACACAAGACAGAGACACCAAGGGCAGAAATGTCCAATGCATTTTCAACAATTGTTTCTGCAATTATTCTCAAAAACCAAAAACTAAGATTTCAATAACTCGACATTCTAGTTATGGTCAAATTTTAAATTACCTTTGAAAATTATTAACAGTTTGTTTGTTCCAATGTTTCCTGTTATTCTCAAATTGACTTGAAAAACATTATCACAAAACACCACAAGCTGTCATTGACACAGTTGCACATTTGTAAATTACATATGAAAAGGGACAATATGCAAATAGTTCAACTGCTTGAACTCATAAATAAACACAATTTGGTAAAAACCCAACTTGGATAACTTTAATTGTAACTTAAGAAGAGAGAATTTCTAATTTAAATGAACATTTACAACAGCAAAAAATATAACTATAAAGCAGAAAGCTAGCATTCAAGCTTGTCCAGTGACAAAACAGAAAACAGGTTCAGTTAAATCTAACAATGCTCTGACTAGGAGAGTAAATTTGTAGAGGAATGTGACTCATAAAATTAAAATGAACTATTCCAGAAACTCAAAGAAAAGCTTAAAAATGATACAGCAGTTACAACCAGTGAATGAAATAAAACAGCAGAGTCTACATTACGAACCACCAACCTGTAAGGGAGTCAAACTGATGCAGATTCGTTGACAGTTTCCCTTTCGCTTGAAGCAAACACAAGTGAGTCCTTTACCAATCCATGCAGGGGAGCCACACGTTGCATTATCTGTATACAACCAATCAGGAGACTTCCCCATTCAACCCTTTTTTCTTTTAACCTTTCTCAAACAATGCCACTAGGCACTTGGTAGAGGAAAGGAACTAAAAAGATCTTAACTTTATCCTTTTTTTTTATCACAAGTTGAAGAGGCAGCCCATGACCAAATCAAATGCACTAATCAATCAGACAGAGATGTGGCAGAATGTTGTGTTTTGGGTGGAACCAAACCATATAACTTTGGAGGGGACATAATCAATGGGAGTTGCGTATGGTGAAGAAGGAGGAGTGGTAATTTGAATAGTGTGCATTGTCGTCTATTGCCCCGACCAACTAAAAAGCAAAATGACTTAGACAAACCGTGAGCTGTGATGTTGGGCCTACAGGGCCCTATACGACCACGTGGGAAGATCAAGATTCATTACATAGTCATACATTTTGTTATCCCATCCATGTGACCAATAAAATAACTCATTTTTTTGTTTTCCTTTTGTCTTTGGCCTATAGTGTTTCTTTTTTCTGTGCTTGTAATCGTGACCGGTTATTAGTTCAGTTCTTCTCGTGGTTTGGTAACTTCCCACTCCCACCATTCCCACTATCTTGTTTGTTACATCAGATCCGACCTCACTCACTGTAACAACTAACAACTCCACAGCAATCCTAAATCCTATCCTATGTAGTTTGGTTTAACTAGTTTCACACATGTTCCTCTTTTAGTGGACCCTCTCCATTGTTTACGTCACGAAACAAACAAACACTGTCTGCTTCAAAACACCGATTCGGTTCAGAATTTCATTTATTACCAACTCTTTATATTAATTTCCTTTTTTGGTTTGGTAACATTGGATTCTTCAAAGTGTGGAAACATTGTATTTTTATTATTATTATTCTTTAATCTCAAAACCCAATGTTATCCACAATGCATGGCTCCTAAATTACATGATTAATAATGGGAAAATCCCATTAATCAGCTTATCCGAAAGCTATTCTGAAAATGAAATTATAATACATCACAAAATTTAAAATTTAAGTTTTACTGCAGTACTACTCCATTTATTAGTGAAATAAAACTCTGATGAGATATTAAATAATGGAATAAAAACAGTAATGAATCTGCATGGAGGAGTTTTTGTTAGAGAATGATGCTGAGACAGACAGAATCAAATCATTGAAATATAATATCAAACAGTGGGAAATGAGAAGAACCTGAAGTCTGAGAAAGGGAGGAAGAAGAAGAAGCAGCACAAATGGGAATGAAGGTGGCATTGAAGCTAAGGAGACCCATATTATGTGATTCTTGGTAGTGAACCTAACGTAACAATGGTCTGGTTTCTGGGATCTGTGAAATGGTATTGATTTGGATGATGGTGGTACTCTAGTACTTGTTCTAAGTAAGAACAAAAGTGTTCTTGTATTGCACTACCCTGTCTTTTTCGAACTGGACTTTGTCTCTTCTGCCTCTCCTTTTACCAAATAAGACATTAGTCATTTGCCCTATTCACACACAGTGTTCCAACATTTTAATCTTTTTTACTTTCTCTAAATATTTTATATTTGTAAACCCATAATCAAGAAAAAGATTAATATCTTAATCTAAACTCATATAAATATAGCACCGTATTAATTAATATTTGTAGAGAGAAATTCAACTAGATGTCATTTACCATACACTCGAATGTAGAGAAGAAAGTTAAAAAATAACATGTACCTTTAAACAATTGAAGAAAACAAGGTGCAAAACTAACATGAGGGAGAGTAGAAATTTTGTTATATTGATGTTTTGGAGTGTACAAGGTGATATATTTCAGGTTAATACTGTTTTTATTAAAGAAAACATAATTAAAAAGATTAGATTAAGAGAATATTTCGTAAGATGAATAAAAAATGTTTTCATATTATATTCATTTCCAGTTTAAAGTTTTTTAAATTATAACTTTTTTTACATACATGGCTAAAGAATAATCAAAATACAAATGTTAATTACTTTTTCAAAAAAATATTTTTTTAAAGTATAAAATAATAACTTATATGTTTATTTTTTAATATATTTGAAAACCAAAGTTTATATTTTTCGTGAATCACTCAATACCATTTCAGGTTTTATTTTTTGCGTGCAAGAGTAGTCGTTATCAGAAGAAAAAATATTTTTTGACAAACGTTGTTTTTATTTTTTAACACTACTTAAAATGACATTATAGATAATATGAGCTCTAAACATCCAAATACTCTTATCAACATTGTATTAATGCCTCAGTTCAAGTGACTGGGAAGCACAGCTTCAAGAGAAACCAGATATATTATTCTGAGGAGGATTTGTGTTAACCAATATTGTTGCATGTACATGAACATAGTTGTCATGGTGTCTAGTCTTTTAAGATAAAAATAAATGGTATTTAAATAAAAATATATATACTTAATTTGTTAAACAATGATTAAAAACTAATATAGTTCACATTGTTATTAATATATTGTGAAATTATATGTTATAAATATTATATCATATGCTATTAAATAAATAACATTGTATATACATATATTAATATGTAATATTATTTTATTATACTCAAATGATACACAAATAATAATTATAAATTGTGTGAGAATGATTATCAACTTCTAAATTAATATTTCTCTCAAAAATATAATTTAGAAACTAACAACTATACAAAAAACTAAAAAATTGTCACACAAAAAACTGTTACAAGAAAAAAATATTTTGTGTTATGTTTCTTATTAAGTCACAGTGATTTTTAAAATAGCAATAGAACAATTAGATTACTTTTAAATTTAATATTATTTATAACTATAACTTAGTTATTTCTAAAAAAAATATTACCATGTGAGTTGATACTCATGGCCATTTCACTGGTAGAATATATTTTAAGATAGTATATGTAATTATTATTATCCATAATTTTATAATAATTAATATATTTAATAGAGTATTAAAATAATAATTTGTTAAAAATACGTTAGGTATATTAATCTATAATGCAAGGAGTTTTTGTTTTCACTTTATGGAATTTCATCATATATGCATGTTATATTTTAAATCAGATGTGTTTGTGTACATTATCAATGAAATTATAATAATTCTACTGTGTGGTTGCAATTAAAAATAAAAACAAGTGAAATTAGTGTTTTGAGTCCTGGTAATTAAATAATTTTTATTTAGACTTTTGAAATAAATATGTAAACACTCTATAATAATGAGTTTACTTTGGGTTATAAATTTAATTTTATATTCTATCTACTACTTTCTGATAACTATAAGGTTGTAAATACAACATTTTTTACTATTTTGGAAGCTATAATTTTGTTGATAGTAATTTAATCTCTTAATCTGGATATTAATAGGTTCGGCCCAATAGATAAATTATTTTACCACTTATCGTAGTAATTGGGCCGGAACTTGGTTCAGCCCATAACTAAACCAACAAGTTCTAATTCAGTTATCCATTATATATAAAGCGATTCAGGACTAGGTTTTACCCTAGTTTCCTTCCTCCTTCAGCAGTTGTTCTTCTTCAATCGTTTGGAAGAAGTAGAAGAAGAAGCGGGAGCCGCCATGGTAAGTGACCAATGTTTCTCAGGTTTTTCTTATGAACTTCATTGTCAGATCTCATCATTTTCTGTTTCTTATTTACTTTTTATTTTATTTTTTGCTTTTCTCAGGTGAAGTACTCCAGAGAACCTGACAATCCCACAAAGTGTAAGTTCCTTTTCATTATCATTATTTCACAAAATTGTAATTTTCATTATATTTAATTTTTTCCTATGGTTATTTATTTGTTGTGTATGTTCACTGGAATAAGAATGATTTTTCTGTTAGTGTTGATTTTTAGGGTAATTAAACTAATACTTTGTTTTTCTCTGTAATGTATTTTGCAGCTTGCAAGGCAAGGGGAGCCGACCTCAGAGTGCATTTCAAGGTAATTTGATTTGTTACCCTTATACAAACCCTAATCCTTGTAACTGAATGTAATATTCATGGGCATACACGATATGTTGACTGTTGTGTGTGTGAAACCTGATGTAAAAAAAAGCAGGGGTTTGTCAATCATGTTGACCAATCTTTAGTAAACTTCAGGAATATAATAATCTCCATTGTTATTGGGTGAACCTTTATTCTTTTGTTGTGATTGAAGGTTCAGTAAATGATGGAACACGTTCTTTTAATCATCCTTATATTAAGCTATGAATCTGTTATAACTCAAGACTTACTCCCATGTAGTTTTTATAAAATTTGTTTCAAAGAATACCTTATGCCTTTTTTGAAAAGGAAATTCCCTTTGTATGAGTAGGTTCCTTTTGAACATTATAACATATAAACACCTTGGGCTTTTGGACAATATGTTTTTTTGGTTAAGTAGTGGTGATTGACTTGTATAATTTATTTTTTACTCATGTTTTTCTGTTTCATTTACAGAACACTAGGGAGACTGCCTTTGCCATCAGGAAGTTGCCCCTGGTTAAAGCTAAGAGATACTTGGAGGATGTGTTGGCCCACAAACAAGCCATCCCTTTCCGACGTTTCTGCCGTGGTGTTGGGAGGACGGCTCAGGCCAAAAACAGACACTCCAATGGACAAGGACGTTGGCCCGCCAAATCTGCTAAATTCATCCTGGATTTGCTGAAAAATGCCGAGAGTAATGCTGAAGTATGGCCTTTGTGTTATTTTATTTGCTTTACCATGTCAATATTTCATGTTAACTTTTGTACTCGTCGACTTTCTTATCATTGCTTTGCCACAGGTGAAAGGTTTGGATGTAGATGCTCTTTATATTTCTCATATCCAGGTTAATCAAGCACAGAAGCAAAGACGCCGCACCTACCGAGCCCATGGAAGAATCAACCGTATGTTTCTGAACTTATTTATATATGTGGTTAACCTAATGGATTACTAATACACTTCGATTTTTGCAGCTTACATGTCATCTCCCTGCCATATTGAGCTGATATTATCTGAGAAGGAAGAGCCTGTGAAGAAAGAGGTAACATTGCCAATCTCTCTGTTAACATTATCTTGACTTCCTTCTTTGTATTAAAATCTTATTTACTGTTGATATTGTAGCCGGAGACACAATTGGCGACAAGCAAGAAGAAGGGTGCTCTTCGAAGTGGTGCTTCATCCTAAATTGCTCTTGAAGAAAGTGATTGGAGGACTCACCTTTAGATTATGTCAGTTTTGAAGATCGTTTTCATTTTTTAAATTTGAATATTTGTGATGAGCCGCATTTGAATATTGAACAGCACCTTTTTGTTGAGCATACTATGTTTTAAGTTAATTGAGAACTTCAAATT